GGGCTTTATTCCGGAGGATCGCGCCAGTCTAGACTTTTTTTCCGGCTTTTCCCCAAGCCGGAAAAAAAGCGGCGGCCATGTTTATTTAAATCCCGCGGGGGATATTTAAATACCCCTTTCGAAAAAAGGCTACTTTTTTCGAAAAACCCCTGAGTCTGGACACAGCACCACAGATTTATTAACAAGGTTTCTAAACAAGGTGGCTATTGCTCTATTTCTTAACTGCTAGCAAATACAGATCTTAAAATGGTTACAAAGGAAAAGAAAAAAAGGAAACATAAAAATTAAAAAACCCAACCCCCAAAGAAAACAGAAAAAAATAATGGTACCAAATGACAGCTTAATCTTTAAAGAGCTCTCATTCTAGGTGTGTGGGTTACACATGCACTAACACAAAGGACACATACAGGTGCCATTTTTACCCCCTTCTGCGTCCCTCGATTCCAGTGTGTCAGGCCAGGATCGGTCCCTCAATTCCTGGGAAAGACGAATACGAGGCTGGGTGTCCCCGTAGACCTCGGGAGGCAATCACTCAAAGTGAGTGTGCTGCTGGACCCATCTTTATACCCGTAGGGGCCCGTATCCTCTTTCTTATCTAAGATGCCAAATTGTGCTGGTTCGTCTTTGTGATGCCAGTTCTTACAAGGGAGTTGTGAACTTAATTTACACTTGTAAGAGAGATAACTAAATTGGAAGTACTGGGCATTCTTTTCTCAGCGGGAGATTTCCCTTTCAGGGACAGCCATGTGATTGTATCAATATAGGTGCTAGCCACGACAGTTCTCGTCAGCTTATTGGCTTGATCACCCTCTCGTATCTGTGTTTACAGTTATCCAGGGTCACAGCAGCCAGCATATCCGGGCCTCTGTCAAGGCATCATAGACTATGCTGATTTTATTGCTCTGTGCGCCTTGTGCGCTTTGAGACACCTGAGAGGGGCAAGCAAGATGGATGTGATGGGGGGGTTCCTGTCTGGCTACAACCCCCCCCCCCATCTCTCCTGCTAAAAGGCAATCATCCCCTCAAACACTCTGTTGTTTTCCTAATCTGCAGCAGCAGATAAAGCATCTCAGTGTATCCCTGATTGCACAGATATACAGTAAGGCTATGTCTAGACTGGGGGGAAGATATGCAAATTGTGGTTCACAATTTGCGTATCTTTTTCCGCTTCTTTTTTTGGAAGAGGCTTTTCCAAAACTTGCCTTGTCTATGCGGGGCCAAATTTCGGAAAAACCTCCTCTTTCAGAACATCCCTTATTCCTCTCACCGAGAGGAGTACAGGGATGCTGAAAGAACACACCCACTTTTTTGGAAACTGTTCCGAAAAAGTGGACACGTTCCCTGGACATGGCAGAGTTTTTCCGGGACACCTCTGGTATCCTGGAAAAACTCTGCAGTCTAAACATAGCCTAAGTGATATTTTTTCTCTAAGCATCTGTCAACAGGAATTCTACTGTAGGTATGCACAGCCTACATATGTAAAATTGGAAACATTTAGTTTGCAGAGTCAGTTAGGCTGTGAATGCCCACTTCATGCCCCCCCACCTATCATGCACAAATGCTGAATGGTATCCAATCACCCCTCAGTTCCTTCTTGACATCTGTGGCAGTGAAAGGGAGCCTCAGGGTGTGTCTAAACTACACCCCTCTGCCGACAGAGGGATGTAGATTAGGCACATCACTATTGCAAATGAAGCAGGGATTTAATATCCCTTGCTTCATTTGAATAGAAATGGCCGCCGATTTTTGCCGCCACAGCACTTTGCTGGCAAAAAGCAGCAGTCTAGACGGGGATTAGTGGACAAGAAAAGCCTTTTATGACCTATTCTGTAAACCTCATTGCACGAGGCATAAGGGATCGGTCGGAAAAGGCTTTCCTTGTTGACCGATCCCCATCTAGACTGCTGCTTTTTGCCCGCAAAGTGCCACGTCGGCAAAAAGCAGCAGTCATTTCTGTTCAAATGAAGCACGGGATATTTAAATCCCCGCTTCATTTGCAATAGCGATGTGCCTAATCTACATCCCTCTGTTGGCAGAGGGGTGTAGTTTAGACACACCCTCCGGGTCCACAGTTCTTCTGCATAGTATCTGAGAAAGTGTTAAGAGATTTATTTTTACTTTGTTAGTGTTACTATTTTTTTCTAATTTTTATAGATTTTGTTTGTGCTCAGTGCTACAAAGAAAACAACAGCTAACTTTTGAGAGGCAAAATCATTTCAGCTTGAAGACAGATGAAGCACTTTATTATTTGAAGGACTCGACAGCAACAATTTATCTCTTGGCATCTGTACTCCATTAAAAAAAGAGGGAAGCAGTCTAATCCTCCGTAATTCTTGATGCAGAGGTCATCTGTGCCTTCATACCAATACCACTCAAGGTCTCATATATAAAAGAGACATCATCTCCAAAAAGAAAAGAGAGGATCTTTCTCATCTACTGACACCTCATACTTGACATCTGGCCAAAGGCTGTAGGTTTGATGCTGCATCCGAGGGTCAAGGATAAGCTTGTGAAGACCTATTCCTGTACTTCTCTCCTTTTAACAAATGCCTTTCTTTTTTGGGGGAGATGTGACTTTATCCAATCAGAGTCTGTTAGAAGTTATCTGGAAGAATATTCAGTTCAATTCCAGTCTACACCATTTCTATATTCTCCCTCTCTGTTCATAAGTGTAGTAATATATCTTAAAGGTAGAAATGTAGCTGTGTTAGTCTGGTGTAGCTGAAACAAAAAACAGGACTACATAGTCCTGTTTTTTATATCTTAGAGGGATACCTTTCTCAAACATTCATAAGTCAGCTACATGGAACTCTGTTCATACATTTACCAGCCACTACTCGGTTGTGGCAAATTCTAGATTAGGTGCCCTGTACGGCTGTGTTGTCTTCCAGTCATTATTTAGAGAGACATCCTACAACCTACCTCATTGAAAAATATTGCTAGTCAATCAACATTCAGTAGGATCTGTGTAGACAAAGGTTCTAGGAAGACAGAGAGATTTCTCAGCTTCTGATAACTTGAATTCCTCAAGAAACTTTGTCTGTGAGTATTCTATGACCTCCACTCCTTTTTAACTGACACAGTGTCCTACTCTTGGATATCTGCATTAGTGAAGGAACTGAGTCATGGTTGGGGCTATTCTATCCTTTATGCCCTTGGGAGGATGGGTGCGAAGCTTACAAGGTGCATGCACTGCTCCAACAAACAATATACACTGAATGTTTTTAAACTATTGATTGGAGATTCAGTAAAAATAAAATGAGAAAACTTTGTGTCCACAATGCAAACAAAACTGATCCTTAAAACTGGTGTTTATTATTTCTGTTCTGATGAGAAGATAGAATGGATGGAGCACAAAAAGGATGTTGTTTCAATATTTCCAGCCAGGAAGAATCCAGAAATTTTCAGTAATTGTAGAGCTGCCTGATTGAACCAGACCATTGGTCTCAGATGAGTAAGATATCCTTGATAAAGTCACACTACTCATCGAAACCTATTCTTGTTTAATTGAATGCATACAAATGTTTAGTTTATCTATCAGAGTATTAATTAATTATGACTTTACAGACATTTGTATGATGATGCTGAACACCCAACGTAAGCCATGAGCAAGTCATATGGAGATAGAGAGGTAGCATAGGAAGGAGCCAAGAGAAGCAGCCACCAGCACTGATTCTGAGCATACCTATGTTGTTAGGAATAGGCCCACTGAGCTGGAAACTAGAGTAGTGGACAGGCCCAGTTTCCCCTAACAGATATGAGGAAAGTGGTCCAGGACCTGTAATTGGAACAGAAGACTGCCTGAAGCAGCATAAAGACTGTATATTTGGTGGGATTTTGTTCTCCTGAAAGAAAGAAGTGCCACAGTGCAAACAACTGATGGAAGGGAGTACCGGAGAGGGCAAGAACTAATATCCTGACCCTGACCTAGCCACGGGAAGGAGTTCCTGTACCAAGCATGGTTCTTTCACATGCAAAAATTATAGAATTTCACAATATGATAAAATAAGAGAATTCATGGCACTTTTCTATTGCATTGACATCAAACTGCATCATTCTCTACATCCTGCCTTTCAACTTCTTCACATTCTTTTTCTCTAGGGGTGTGTCTAGACTACATGGCTCCGTCGATGGAGCCATATAAATGAGTTTACTAGACATAGCAAAATGAAGCAGCGATTTAAATAATCGCTGCTTCATTTACATCAAAATGGCTGCTGCGCTGTGCCGATCAGTTGATTGTCGGCACAGCATGGTAGTCTAGATGGGGATCAGCTGACCCCAGAACCCTTTCTCATCAGATCCTTTATGCCTCATGAAACAAGGCTTACAGGATCTGATGTCAAAGGATTCCAGGGTTGGCTGATCCCCATCTAGACTACCGCACTGTGCTGACAATCAGCTGATCGGCACAGCGTGGCAGCCATTTTGATGTAAATGAAGCGGTGATTATTTAAATCGCTGCTTCATTTTGCTATGTCTAGTAAACTCATCTACATGGCTCCATCGATGGAGCCATGTAGTCTAGACACACCCTAAGGATGCATCTACACAGCACCTGAAACTCGAAATAAGTTACACAAATGAATTCCAGGATCACTGAGAGATCATAAACACAATGCACCATGAAACAATTGTATAAGTCAGTGTTCACAATATGGACACTTTTGAACATCAGTGCTCACAGTACAGTTTTATGGCACTTGTACACACTTTACCTGAGGAGATTTCTCAATCCATGTTCGGTGGAGCCCCCAGTTCAGATTTTTGCTACATTCAGATCTTTATATACACGAAAACTATAAAAACATCTTTTGTCCTTTTCAGAATAGAGAGGAAAAATTGCATGTTCAAAAATACTTGACATCAATAAGATGAAAATCACACCAATGCAGAGGAACCCAGATAAAAAAATCTTAATTAACACATTTTTAGGGGACTGATATAATGTATAGGTTCTGTGTGAAACTTCTGTGTTGAAATTAACTTTCCCCATGACATTACGGCTTTATAAAAGGAGGAAAGAGCTTCAGAAAAAGAAACTTGTTTACTGCACATTTTACTTCCTTGTTTCGCAAAGTGTAAATGAGTGGATTTAACAAAGGGGTTAAAATAGCAAAAACAACATTGCTCATAATGTGGACATCAATTGGCAAGTCTGTTCTGTAGGAAATATATGCCAGAGCAATGGATGAGTAGTAAGTGCAAACCACAATCAAATGGGAAGTGCAAGTAGAAAAAGCCTTACTGCGACCTACATTAGAGTTGATCTTTAATATGGAGATAATGATGTGAACATATGAAAGGGTGACAAGCACAAGTGGCAGGAATGAAACAGTCATGGCAATGGAGAAACCCAAGAAAGTCTGAAAAGCGACACTGACATCAGAACATGCTGCTTGCACAACTGCCAAATGATCACAAAAACAATTGTAAACTGTGTTTTTTTCACCAAATGTTAACAGAGTGGTCTGGAAGATGACAGGTATTGGTATTAACAATCCAGTTACCCAGGCACATGCTGCCAGTAGCAAGTTTACTTTTTTTGTCATTTTAACCGGGTAGTGCAAAGGATTACAAATTGCTTCATAACGATCATAAGACATGACTACAAGAAGCAGTGATTCAGTCACTGCTAAACCATGAAAACCGTACATCTGCAGGAAGCAGACGTGAAAAGAAATAGTTTTGGCATTGACCAGAAACATTGCCAACATTTTGGGAATCGTAGTAGTTGTAAGCAATATATCTAACACAGAGAGATTAGTTATGAAAAAGTACATGGGTTTGTGAAGTGTTTGATCGATCACAACTACAGCTATAATAATGGTATTACCAATTAGTATTATCAGATAGCATAACAAAAATACAAGGAAAAGAGGAATCTGGAAATCTTGAAGCGCAGGAAATCCAGTGAGATAAAAGTCTTTGGCAGAAGTATTGCTGTTGCAGTTGTTCATGGTCTGGTGGTTGAAAATATCTAGAGTGAAAAACATAGTAAAGAAGCAATCCTAATTATTTCAAGAAAGTCTGCAAGTTCATGAATAATTGTGTTTTGCAGAAGGTCTTTGTCAATAAACTAACATATTGCATGCAATTTTAGTTAATTTTCAGTGTCTTCCACTACAAATAATGTATTTATCCAGAATGGACAAGGATGGTGTCCCTAGACTTTGGTAGCAATTGGGAAAGGGTGATGGGATGGATAGCTTCATTCTTACCTGTTTTGTTCATTCCCTCTGAAACATCAGGCATTGACATCTTTTGACAGTATAGTGGGCTAGATGGGACTTTGGACTGACCCACTATGGCTGCTTCTATATTGTTATTTATATATGAAGCCCCTGGGAAGAAAATGAGATTAAGTACTATGTTGACAACAATTAGCAATACATCTGTTTCTAGGTGATGTAGCTACTCAGCTTTAAGCCTAGACATATAGGCATAGTCCACACTAGACAAGGCAGGTCAGTTTAAGGTATGCCATCCAAAGCCGAGTTATCAGAGTGTCTACTCTGCAGAAGGCTGATGAGAGCACACACTCCTGTTGGCTTCCCTTACTTCTCACAGAATGAGGAGTACAAAACGCCAGCAGGAGCTGCCCCCCATTTTCAATATGGGGGTCTACACTAGATCCACTAAATCGAACACTAGAGTCGATCTTCTCTCTAGTGTAGACAAGCCCATAGTGATTGAGACCTTTGAATATATCTGTGAAGTTTAACAAAGAAAACATAAAAGTAGCCATACTGGGATAGACCAATGGTCCATCAAACCCAGTATCCTATCTGCCGACAGTGGCCCAAGAGGAATATACAGAATAGGCAACCAAGGCATGTTCCATTGCCTGGCATCAACTCCCAGCTTCTGGAGATGAGAAGCTAGGAAAAACCAGAGCCTCTTGAGTAATAGCCATTGATAGCCTTATCCTTCATGGACTTATCTGCCTTATTCACAGAGCTGACAATTTTATAGATGTATCTCTTATCCCCTTTAGTCATCTATTTTCTATGGTCTCATCTCCACTTGCCAGAGGATCAGTGCTCTGGTGACTGATCCTCTAGGGTTCAATTTAGCGGGTCTAGTAAAGACCCACTAAATCAAATGCTGAGGGGCACCCCCTTCAGCCTCCTACTGCAGGGCCGCCCCAGAAAACCAGTGCAATTCATGTAGCTGGAGTTGCATACCTTGCATTGATTTTATCCATTAGCATAGACATGGCCTAATTAGAAAAATCCCTGATTTTTAATTTTTCCATTGATAGAAGTTGTTCCATACCATTACGCATTTTGTTGCCCTTCTCTGTACTGATTCTAATACTTAGATATCACTTTTGAGATGGGATCATGAGAAATGCCCACTGTATTCCAAGTATGGGCATACCATAGATTTATACAGTGACATTATAATATTTTCTCTGTTATTGTCTATCACTTTCTTAATGAGTCTTAATAGTCTGCTCTGGTGGGTTTTTTTAACTGCTGCTGCACATTCATCAGATGTTTTCAGCAAACTATCCACAATGATCTCAACATTCTTTTGTGGAGTATTAACAGCTAATTTAGACCCCATCATTTTGTATGTATCATTGACATTACATATTCCAGTGTCCAATATTTTGCTTTGCTTGACCAACCTTGAATTTTAACTGCCTTTTTATTGCTCAGTCACCTAGATTAGTGGGATTCCTTTGTAACTCTGCACAGTCTGCTTTGCACTTAACTATCATGAACAGTTTTCTCCCATTTGCAAATTTTGCCACCAGACTGTTTACCCTTTCATCATTTATGATTTTGTTGAGCAGTACCGGTTCCAGTCCCGATCCCTGGTGGAAAACATTATTTTTCTCTCTGCAATCTGAAAGCTGACTATTTATTCCCACCCCTTCTTTCCTCTGTTTTAATTATTTTCCTGTCCAGGAGAGGAACGCCCCTCTAATCTTATTACTGCTTATTTTGCTTCAGAGCCTTTGGTGAGGGATTGTGTCTTGTGTATGTTGAGCCTCTCAAACAACTCTAATAAATTAGTGAGGCATTATGTCCCTTTACAAAAGCCTCTGGACTTCTCCATTTTTTGAAGAACAGTTTTTGAATTGAGACTAAAATTGAACATATCATTCAAAGCAAGGACATCCAATAAATGTATGTAATGGCATTAGAATATATTCTATATTATCCTCTATTACTTCCCTAATAAGGCTAACATAGTGTTTGCTTTTTTGAGTGGTCCTTTGCTTTGAGGAAATATTTCTCTAAGTCAGCTGTGAACAACAAGAGGAAGATTTTTCTCCTGAGTCATTACAAGTTAAATGGAACTTAGAAATGTGCATGAGTAATTTCTGGTGTATTACCTTGCATTTCTGAATTCAAAGTATTCAGTTTCGACAGTTAAAGCCATTTATTATTTGGATCTTGGCAATTTTAAAGATTCCCTATTCCTAAGTGGCAAATCAACCATTGAGATCAGCTACACATTCAACCTGAAAATCTTTAGATTAAATTAAGGCTTTTATTCCCCGACAGAAAGGGAAGGTTTTAGTTTGTATGAAATATTTTATGTGGGATTGGGATTGCTTTTTAATGTCATTTTGATTTTTTTTCTGTTCCCCCTATTGTTTTCAGTTCTGTAAAGATTTGAGGACACAATTTGAATGAGAAATGCTGTACTATAAAAATAAAATTGTTGTACTGTGCTAAATAAAACACCCACCATTAGTATGCTTAGTACTGACTTGAAACTCAGACATCATAAATCAATTTCAAAATCACATCCTTTAGTTCCTGTCAACAAATTGTATTAAAAATGTTTCTCTATGTGGAATGCCAAGTGGAAAAAACATACATCAAAACAAAGAATTAGTCTAAAATGTAGAGATTATAATGTGATAATATAAACTCTACCTGACTTGTGAATTCCAGAGATTATAAGAGCATTGGTTTCACTCGTGTTGCAGTTAGTGATAGATGGACAGCTCCTACAATAAAGCCTCCAGCAAATACAGTGATTGGGGCTCTGTGTTTCTTTTGAACAAATTCTGTAGTCCTTTTATCTGCCTTCATGTCCCCAAAGATTAAATTAACATGGGTTTCTTATCCACAATTAAGAGACCGATTCAGATATATAATCATTTTCATGATAAACAATCCCAGCAGAGTTTGGAATCTCAGTTGCACTGTAGAGCTCATAATTTGTGTGAATTTCATTGCACATTTGAACAGTCAAGAAAATGAAAGCAAGGTGTTTCAAATGCCAAGTATGCAGCACGAGAAACCTTCATGAGATGTGCCATTGTAGCCATTATTTTATATTTGATTCAGTCCTTTTCCCACTGACATTAGCTTCAATGGGAAACTGTTGAGTAATCCAATTGAGTAATCCCAATTTTTTTTCACTGCATGAAACAATTTAAGGCCACATTAATTAAAACTGCCAAAACATCCAGAAAGTCAATTAATCATCAAAAAATGCTTACTCTTACGTTTCTGAGGACCAATGTCAAGATTGATGTGCAAGTATTTCTGCTCTTTAAGTTGGATTAAAGCTATTCTTGACATCACAGTTGAGTGATCCTTCGTTCTGCATATTCTCTACCCCCATTATTGTTTGTGTAATATCCTCATGACTAGTATGGTCTTGAAAATGTGATCCTCCTGATGTAGGCTTCTTGTTTCTGAAGTCATCTATGATCTGTGAGATAACATGGGAAGACATGTCATCAACTGGCACCAATATGGACCATTACCAGCCAATACTTGCCCATCATACTTTGACGCTCATGAAATGATGTAGTCACACCTTGAGCTGCGGTCTCATGGCCTTGGCAGGATTTTGTTTCCTTTCTTTTTAGTACAGAACCATCAACATGGATCATTTGTCTTTTTTGGGTGGCTGAACATCTATGGCAGGGCTGGATTGGGGGGCGGAGGCTTGCCAGGCAGCATCCTGGGGCACCAACCTATGAGGGGCACCTGATTGAAGTGGTAAGGGGCGCTGCACACCTGGGGCCGGGCCGCGCATGCGCCCGCTGCCCAGGGCGCAACTATGGTTAGGTCTGGCACTAATCTGTGGTAACATCTATGGTAAATCTACGGTATATCTTGGAGGGGTACTTAACTCTAACATTCAGAAGGCATCTACTTGGAGTTCTGTTAATAAATTTACCAGCCACTACTCCATTGTGGCAAATTCTAGATAAGGTGCCTAGTACGACAGCATTGTCTTCTGGTCATTATTTAGAGAGATGTCTTGCAACCCATCTAGTTAAAAAATACTGGTAGGCAATTAACATTCAATAGGATCTGTTTGGACAAATGTTCAAAGAAGACAGAGAGATTACTCAGCTTCTGATAATTCCAAATCCTCAAGAAACCTTTGTCCATGTGGAGTCTATGACCTGCCCTTCTTTTTAACTGACACAGTGTCCTACTCTTGGAATCTACATCAGTGACGGAACTGAATGATGGTTGGGGCTGTTCTGTCCTTTATGACCTTAGATAGAAGGATTAGTATGAAACTTACAAGGTGAATGCACAGCTCCAAAAGACACTATGCACTGAATGTTTTTTTTAAAGTTATTGATGGGAGATTCCATTAAAAAAAAAAATTAGAAAGACCAACATTTTGTGCCCACAATGCAAACTCAACTGTTCATAAAACCTTGAAATGAGCATTGGAAAAGTACAATGGTAACAGAAAGTATATTTATTTCTGTTCTGAAGAGAATATAAAATACAAGAAAAGGATCTTACTTCAATATTTCCAACCCAGAAGAATCCAGAAATTACCATTAATTATGGAGATGTCTGATTGCAATAGTCTGAGATGGATATGCTATGCTACAAAAATTCCAGCTAAGAATCTCTAACTAACCCTGTTCTTGCTGAATTGAATGCATGAACTTCTGAGATTTATCCCTCACAACATTTATCTTAATATGACTTTACATAAACTTGTGTGATTGAATGACCACTCAACACAAGCCCTGAACATGTAATATGGGACGGCAGGACACATTAATCTTACGTACTGCCTCTGAGGGAGTAGCCAAGGATTGATAATTTCTAGCTACAGATGAAACCCAATTGAAAGCCAGGAAGTAAAAGCCAGAAATGAGGTGCAGGGATGAAATCTGTCACCACTCCCCAGACAGAAAGTGAGTTGGTCGAGGTCTAGAAGGATATCCAGAGGAGAGAAAGACATTTTGTATTGTGACAAGGTGCTGAATGGCGTGAAGTATCCATGGAGGAGCAGAGGAATCCCTGGAAGTAAATCCAGAGTTAATCATGGAGATAGAGTTGGGCTACGTCTACACTGACGTGTTCTCATGCAAAAACTTTTTTGCGGAAGAGTTCTTGTGAAAAAACTCTTCCAGAAGAGAGCATCTGCACTGGCATGTGCTTTTGCACAAGATATGTGCTTTTGCGCAAGAGCATCCTTGCCAGTGTAGATGCTCTCTTGCGCAAGAAAGCTCTGACGGCCATTTTAAACATCGGGCTTTCTTGCGCAAGAAATTCATGTTGCCTGTCTACACTGGCCTCTTGTGCAAGAACAGTTGCGCAAAAGGGCTTATTCCTGAGTGGGAGCATCAGAGTTCTGGCGCAAGAAGCCCTGATTTCATACATTAGAACATCAGTTTACTTGCGCAAGAACACGCGGCCATTGACTGTAGATCATGCCGATGTAGACACAGCCTTGGAGTAGGAAAGAGCCCAGAGAAACAGCCTCCAGTACTAACTCTGAGCATACCTATATTCACAGCCATTACAGCCCCAGGGTGAATCTGGGCAGCTTCCCCAGACCCTGCTCTTTTGGGGGCCCCAGATGTCCTATGGATAGGAGGGACCCACGAGATTACTGAAGGTTGGTGAGGAGTGACTGAATGGGTTGCCCTCCTCTCCTTCCCCATACACTCACCATGTATGCAGTGGGAGCCAGAGCAGACTGGCAGCTTGCTTTGGCCAGCTTCTGTCTTCTCTGTGATAGCAGAAAGCAAAGTGCCTCAGCCTCAGTGTGCTCCAGTTCCCATAACCACAGAGAAACAGGGTGCAGCAGGCCAGGAGAAGGCAGCATAGCAGGATAGAGAAAACTATCAGGCCACTTCAGGTCCTACTGTCCAAGTGGTAAGTGTGGGGAAGACCTATACTGCTGCCATGCTAGGCACCGGAAACCTTAGGGTGTGTCTAGACTACAGGATTTTTTTTTTAAAAAGTAGCCTTTTTTTGAAAAATCTTTACCTTTGTCTAAACTGCCGCCACGTTCTGTCGACAGTACATCGACAGAACGCGGTAGTTTTGTTGACGGCTGTAAACCTTGTTTTATGAGGAATAACACTATTTTTGACAGAGATCTGTCGAAAAAAGGGAAGTGTGGACATGGGGAAAATTTGTTGTAGAAAATAAAGGACTCCAGGAAGAAGCCCCGGTGGACACTCCTGCCAGACCTTTCATCTCTATTGTTCTGCCTGTAGCCATCTTTTAAAGCCACAGGCACCCAGAAGTAGCATTGTGGCAGCAAGCCAACTCCAAACAGGACCCTGACTGCTCAGCTCTTCATGGTAGGGCCACTCAGAGCCATGTCCCAGAGACTCCCCTGGCCCCTCCAGGGACACATCCCCACAAGAAACGCCGGGCACCCTCCTGGTCTGGCCCCAAGATCAAAGTCCTCTTGGGGCTCTGGTCTGAGGAGGAGTCTCTTCAGGCACTGCAGTCCAAGAGGAGGAATGCGGACATTTATGCCAGAATGGCTGATGGCCTTGCCAAAAAAGGTCACCACCCCCACACACTCGAGCAGGTCACAGCAAAGGTCAAGGATCTGCGGCAGGGGTATGTTAGAGCCCATGAGTGCAGCTCCTGCTCTGGGAAGCACCACAGTATTGTGCCTATTATGAGGACTTGGACTGGATTCTGTGGGCAATGGAACTCCTGTCTCCCAAGAGAGTTGTGGAATCTGGGGTGAAGACCCCTGTGCAGCAGCAGCCACAGCTCCGCAGCAGCGATCTCAGCTCTGGTGAGATCCCAGAGGACCAACAGCTCCAAGAAGAGGAGGGAGAGGAGGGCACCAGCAGGAGCACAGTGACCCTGACCCTGGAGCCAGACACCCAGACGCAGGAGGCCTCCCAGACAACTTCAGACACCAGGAAGGGAACATCAGATGAGTGCTGTGAGGGTCCAACACACACAGGGCAGGGGAGGTGGAAGCAAAGTGTATGGTGCAGTGCTGTGACATGTCATGCTGATCACAGCCTGGGGGGGCACACACATGACCAACCTCAGGGAGGGCCGTCCTACCCCTGTACCCGCACGGCTGTGAGGCACCACCTGCTCTTGCAGACACTGATGCCAGGTGCAGGCATGGGTTGGGGACCCTGGCATTGCCACACAGCTTCATGCCTCTCAGCAACCTGTGGGAACCCCAACTGTGGCCTGACAATTGTCTGTGCTGCTTGGCCATGGGGGTGTGTATCTGTGTGTGGGGGGGGCAGGATGGTGGTCTGCATACTGTCTGGGCTTCAGGGAGGCCATCGCTGCTGCCCAGGCCACACCACGCCTTGCTGAGACCACATGAGCATCCCGTGACCCTAGTGGACAGGCACTGATTGATGAGAAGGAGGGCATGCCCTCTCAGGGAAAGTGTGAGCATGCATGACTGATGACTTCTCCCTCTTGTCCTCCACAACCGGACCAGCTATCCAGGAGGGGAGCGCCACACTTGACACACCATCCAGACAGCCGCAGGGAACCCGGCACTGGCGCACATATTTGGACCTGGTTTGCCAGCACATCTCAGTCCTGCAAGGGATGCACGAGACTTTTAATCAGAGGATCCAGGCAGAGGCACAGTGGTGCAGTCGCTTGCTGGATGAGTTTGTCCAGCAGCGCACTGCTATTTGCATTGCTATCTGGGAGGCCATGGCCTTCCCTGGTCCTGTGCCTGTTCCTGCTCCTCCAAGCTCAGCCTGCCCCATCCTCACCTCCTGCCCCGTCCTCACTCCCTGTCATCCCAGACCCAGGTACAGTCCACCTCCTGCCCAGCCCCCTACTGCCCCAGCCCGCACATGCAGCCGTCTCCAAGCAGGCCTCCACAATCAAGGTAGCAGGGGCTCATTATCCATGTGGCACCCTCAGACCTGAGCCTCTCTCCCCCCTTCCAGGTTGACATCCCCTTTCCCACCTGTGAGAGTCAGTAAGGGAAGCACTTTACTTTGTTTAAAAAACTATGGAGTGACTTACCTCCATCAAGATGGCCCCAACCGTAGACCTCACCATGCCAAACTGGTGTCCCATGGAGTGGTAGCTGTCGGGGATAGCCAGCTTCCAGAGGGCAATAGCGACCCGCTTCTCCAGGGGGATGGTGGGCCGCAAGGGAGCTCAGCCTGCCCCATCCTCACCTCCTGCCCCGTCCTCACTCCCTGTCATCCCAGACCCAGGTACAGTCCACCTCCTGCCCAGCCCCCTACTGCCCCAGCCCGCACATGCAGCCGTCTCCAAGCAGGCCTCCACAATCAAGGTAGCAGGGGCTCATTATCCATGTGGCACCCTCAGACCTGAGCCTCTCTCCCCCCTTCCAGGTTGACATCCCCTTTCCCACCTGTGAGAGTCAGTAAGGGAAGCACTTTACTTTGTTTAAAAAACTATGGAGTGACTTACCTCCATCAAGATGGCCCCAACCGTAGACCTCACCATGCCAAACTGGTGTCCCATGGAGTGGTAGCTGTCGGGGATAGCCAGCTTCCAGAGGGCAATAGCGACCCGCTTCTCCAGGGGGATGGTGGGCCGCAAGGGGGTGTCCTAGCATTGTAGGGCCGGGGCGAGCCAGGCACACAGCTCCTGGAAGGTGGACTTCTGCCTACGGAAGTTTCGGAGCCAAGCCTCATTGTCCCACTGCTCCAAAACAAGCCAGTCCCACCAGTCTGAACTGATGTCCAGCCTCCAACCTCGCCTCTTCAGGAATAAGTTCGGCGGCAAGGGCAGTGGGGCTGCAGCCCGAGTGAGGGGTCAAAGCTGGGCTCTGAATCCAGCTCTGCCACAAACATCATGATGGTCTCATGAAGATGCAGCAGAACTTCCAGCATCACAGCATGGGGCCATCGCCTGCCCAGGGGCAGCTCAGGTTCCATGGCCAAAATCACAGTGAAAAGCAGAAAAAAAAACCCTGAAAATAAACTGCTGTGGTGTCCGAGGAAGCAGGGCAACCAGAGCAAGCACTGCAGCAGCTTTGCTTTCCCTCCAGGAGGTAGGCAAGCCAGAAGCAGGAGCAGAGCAACAGCTGTGCAGGGGGATCCCTTTAAGCATGTCTCTCTGCAAAGGGCATGCAGCAGCACCTGAAAATAAAGGCTGCCCTCAAGCCCTGCCAGAAGCACTTCCGGGTGCCTTTTTTTTTTTAAAGAGCGTTTGGCAGT